AAGGTGTAGAGCTGGATGAACACAGCCTTCCTGCTCCTCTGATGCTGCTTGGCCTGCTGTGTTCATCCAGCTCTACACCTTCTTATCTCAGATTCTCCAGCATCTGCAGTTCCTACTATCAGGGTAACCTCACCTTAACTTAAGAAATCTTCTGTTTCTGTTTCAGTTCTGTTTCTAGAACGGCCGATTTTTTTCTCTATCAGAGAATCTAAGGAAGATTTCAGCTGATCCTGGAATTATGGGATAAAATCACAAATTAGCACTAGTTCCTAACCAAACATGCGGGAATAATGTGGTGATGAACAAATTTACCTTCAGAATTTCAAAGGCTTCTTTAACCGGCGGGAAGCTGTGAATTTTGTGTTTCCGTGAGTCTCTACAAATGAAGCAGATCAATTTCTTGTCAGTTTCACAGAACAGCTTCAGTTCTTCCTTATGTTCCTCACAGTGAAGTTTACTTTCCTTCTCTTGCGGATCCAGCTTTAATTTTCGAGCCTTCTCGGCCAGATTCGCTAAGGCCCGATTTACCCTGAGGTTTCTTTCCGGATACTCCTCTCTACATTCCGCGCAAGACTTTATCTCCTTCTTTTCCCAACTCTGGGTGATACAGGAGCGGCAGAAGTTGTGTCCACACTCCAGTGAAACCGGGTCGGTGAAGAAATCCAGACAAATGGGACAAACTGCTTCCGCGGTCCAACTCTGGGCCTCATTTCTGGAAGCCATCTTCAAACTTAACACTTCCTGACTCAAACCAATTTTCCCTGTTTACTGGCTTGATGAACACCTTCAGGTCCGGGACTTCACTGCTGTAGTCGGGAGATTATTGGTATGTCTGAGTCCTCTGGGTCGATTTTATCGCTGGAAGACAAAATCAAGTCCAACCCCCATCCCAACTGCCTACCTACACTCACCTGTACTGGCTTCATCCCCGCCTCCTTGATTTATCCGTCTTCTCTCCACCTATCTGTTCCTCTATCCAACTTCTATCATCGCCTGCCCCCACCCTCTCTATTTATTTCAGAGAAGGCCTCATTTCTCCCCCATTTCTGAAGAAGGGTCCAGACCCGAAACGTCAGCTTTCCTGCTCCTCTGATGCTGCCTGGCCTGCTGTGTTCATCCAGCTCCATACCTTGTTATCTCAGACTTCAGCATCGGCAGTTCCTACTATCTCGGAGAAAGTATACAGTTGGGCTTTTGAAAATCTCTGAAGGTTTGGCAGGAGGCGATGGGGAGAGTGAGTGATGGGCAGAGGTGGAGGTTCCGTTGCTCTCGGCTGCAAAGCAAGTTCCCTGCCAAAAAGAAAATTTCTGGTATACAATCGCGAATTTATAAAGGGATTTATGCAAATGATCTTCGCCGTTCTTCCAGGACGATTAAGGGATAAAAATGAGATGAGAGGAGTCAATTTAGAAAATCAGTTGTTCCAACAGTAACTTATTCCACCCACTGAGCACGTAGTGGCAGCTGCACCCTCGATACAATAAAAGTATTTGCATTTCGACATGTGTCTTCCGTGATACTGCGATGTGCAAAGTGCACCGCAGCGGAGGAAGCAATTTTTTTTTTTGAAAGTGTTCTTGCTGTAGTGGAAACAGGACCAGTGAACTGGAGCAGAACACTCTCCTCTAAACAAGAGCTGAACAAATCGTCGGAGCAATTGTTTTTCCTGTTTAGGAGGTGATTCACGGCGCGTGTCTTCGGAGTAGTTAGCTGCATTCCAGAGAGGGCACCGTTGCCTGAGTTGTGAAGGGACAGTAAGAACTGCCGATGCTGGAGTCAAAGATAAGTGAGCGTGGAGCTGGAGGAACACAGCAAGGCCAGGCAGCATCAGAGGAGTAGGAAAGCTGACGTTTCGTTTCGGGACCCTTCTTCAGAATTCCTGCTCTTTCCTGCTCCTCTGATGCTGCCTGGCCTGCTGTGTTCCTCCAGCTCCACACTGTGTTATGTCTGAGTTGTGAATCCGTGGGAGGGGAGAAAGGAAATTCCCCGATTCAGAATTTAAGCTAACAGAGACATTTTATATTTCTGAAATTGATGTAAAACCAGACCCCGCCCCCATTCCGCACGCACGGTATAAAATTACATCGCAATTCAAGTCTCTCCGTCCCAATGTTCCCGCTAATCTATTAAGAACATTTTTCCGAAGATTTTAGTAAAGAACATAAAACAATAAGGCTTCCCAGTATTAGCTGTTATTTGCTTCTTGTCCACTGGGAAGGTTCTATTGAGTGCAGAGGCCTGTGTGCAGTGGGGCTGGTTAGGCAAACGATATCGGGCTCGGCGGGAAGGTGGAACAAACTCGAGAGGCCTTCCAAAATAAAACAAAACCGCCGATGCTCGAGATCCGAAACAATAAAGTGCTGGAGAAACTGTGTAAGCCTGGCGACATCTGCGGCGAGAAAAACAAGGCCAATGCCCCGAGCCCAGTCACCCAGTTCTGAAAGATCACTGGACTTGAGATGTTGACTTTTTTTTATCTCTCTACGTGTGCTGCCAGATCTGCGGAGTTTCTCCAGCACTTTCTGGTGTTGTTTGGAGGGGCAACTGGTAGCTACATACGTTGTTTGGAAGGACCCGGTTGGGACAGAAAATCCACTCCATCAGACCTGATCTCATAGAAATATTCTACCAAGGGCGTCACCACCTCTACTGCAGAGGGCACATGTCAGCTCTGACATAGTGGTTGCATTGTTTGCGTGGTAGAACATTATAAGAAAGATACAGAGTCCTATGGATATAACTATAATAGACATTGTTCTGCAGAACTAAGAGATTGATAGAATGTGTGACAGAGCGGTTTTCTTTTTTAAACCGACAAGATTTTATATTGAACCCTAGTCTGTGCTCTCAGATGACTATAAATAGTATTATTCCACAACGATCATTAAATACTTTCTCATTTTTTCCCTTAATCGACAAACTACAAACCAGATCCTGTAGCCATTAGTGTCATTGCTGTGCTTAAGTAGACCGATGTACTTTCTACATCACGACAGTGAGTGAAATTTGCAAGGGCTCGTTCGTTTTCACGTTGCCTTGGGGCGTGAAAGGCGCTATATAAATTGAAGTTTTCTGGCTTTGCAAACGAAATCGAGCATCACACAGGTCCAAGCCCTCGAAAGGCTTTTATCCTGCTGCTATGTTCAGTGGTTCAAATGATATTGAAAGTATTGCGCACCTACGTTGCAGTCATCAGCACAATTCAGTTTCAGGACCCGCATCTTTTCGAAGTTTCAAGGTCAAAATCACACAACACCAAGTTATAGTCCAACAGGTTTATTTGAAAACGCAAGCTTTCGGAGCTCAGCCCTGAGCAACCCGCTGAGCTTCGAAAGCTTGCGTTTTCAAATAAACCTGTTGGGGCTATAACCTGGTGTCATGTGACTTTTTGACATTGTCCACCCCAGTCCCACACCGGCATCTCCATAAAACCCGAAAGAACTGCGGATACCGTAAATCAGAAACGAAAACAGAAGTTGCAGGAAAAGCTCAGCAGGTCTAGCCGAAGGAAAGGTCACCGGATCCGAAACGTTAATTCTGATTTTCTCTTCACAGATGCTACCAGACCCGCTGAGCTTTTCCAGCAACTTCGGCTTTTGTACCTCAGCGTCATTTCGAAGTTTCAGCAGAGTACACAATCGGCAGCGAGCTCAAGTCTGTGCGAAGACAGTGGCATCGCAATCCCCGCCCATCTCCGCCTCCTTCCGTCTCTCACCTCAATCCCCATGAAGATCCAACCTCTCGACCAGGGTTCGATTTAATCTCCATTAGCTAACGCTGCTCATCCTTGACGTTGTTCCTGGGTTTTGTCTCTGTGTAAAGGGCTACAAGATATCGACTAGTTGCATTCTATGAGCATTGCAAGTAATTCCATCGGGAATTTCTCGAACTGAAGCGGTGGAGAGAAATCGAAACAGAAAGCATGGCTTCCAGGGAGGAGACCAAAAGCTTGACCGAGGAGGCAATCTGCCCCATTTGTCTCGATTTCTTCACCGATCCGGTAATGCTGGAGTGCGGGCATAACTTCTGCCGCTCCTGTATCTTTCGGTGTTGGAAAAACAAGATGAACTGCCCGGAATGCAGACAAAAGTGTCCGAAGAAAAGTGTCCGGGTGAACCGGTCCTTGGCGAATCTTGCTGAGAAAGCACGAAAAATCAAGCTGGATTCAAACGAGCAGGATAGTATACCTCAATGCGAGGCGCATCAGAGAGAACTTAAGCTGTTCTGTGAAACTGACGAGAAATTGATCTGTTACTTTTGCAGAGATTCGCAGGAACACATAGGCCATCGCCTCTTGCCGATTAAAGATGCGATTGAAAACTACAAGGTAAAATGAAAACTAATTTGACCATCTGATCATTTCAACATATTTTCACATTCTAACGCTTTCCTTCCATGATTTTCTCACCCAATGCCAGGATCAACTGAAATCTTCCTTAGATTCTCTCACGCAGGAGAAATCCCAGATTCTAAAAGCGGAACAGAAACAGAAACGGATGATTTCCCAAATTAGGGTGAGCTCTTTCTGTGCTGATATTTTCTGGGGGGCATAAAAGAACTAGGGGTTTTGAAAATCAGGAACAAAAATAGAAACTGTTGGGAAAACATCTGTGCAGAGAAAGCAGACCTAAAGTTTCGGATCCAATAACCTTTCAGAACTGATTGTAGCTGGGAAAAGGTTGGCGTATATGCTGAAGATGGGCTGGGGAGGGAGGAGTAAACGATAAATTGAGATGAAGGCCAGAAAAATCCAGCATCTCATTTTCCGCTTGGGGACCCTGCAGCCTTCGGAGTTCAATATCGAATTTTAGGACTTGAGCATCTTGTCCCACGCCCTTACCCCATATCCCACCCACCAGGCCTTGTTATCATATGGAGTGCTGCCACGACCCAGCAGCTAATGATTCCCCCAGGGTGACCTTCACCATTCCTTTGTCTGTCCAACTATGATGAAGTCATACAGTCTCGGAACGTTAGCTTGCTTTCTCTCCATGGATGTTACCTGACCCGCTGTGATCTCCAGCATTTATGGTTTTCAGTACAGATTCCAGCATCTGCAGTAATTTGCTCCTACATTTTCACCTATTGTTGACTCCACCCCCTCTTCCACGCCACCTTCAACATGTCAACAAATCTTGTCAACGCTGTTTTCTCTCCAAAGATGTTGCCAACCTGCTGAGTTTTCCCAGCAATTTATATTTTTGTTTTTGATTGTCTGTGATCTCGGCTAGCTTTGTTTCCTTTATTGCGGGACTTTGATAATATTTCACATTTTATTCTGTAGGAACAGGCGAGCAATCTGCAGACCCACATCATATCCGAGTTCACTAAAATGCACCAGATTCTCGCTGAGAAAGAGCAGCGTTTACTTAAAGTCCTCAGGCAAGAAGAGAAGAGAAGTCTGGAAACGATTGAGCGGAATCTTGAAGTTATCCAGCAGAATTCAAATTCTATTGAAGATAAATTTTCAAATTTGCAGAAACAAATGGAGCAGCAAGACGAGCTGACATTTTTGAAGGTGAAGGAATGTGTTGTGGCTTAGTTCAGTGAAACCAGTTAAAATAACAGATTTGAAACACTAGAGAAAATCCGTCTTGTCTCAGTCTATTCGGGGGCGGTTGTGCTGTAGTTACCGAACTGATCAAACCAACAACGCTGCAGTGCGATTTTTCTATTTGGTTTATTGCTATTTCAATACCAATTTAATTTTCTGTTGAAACTCAAATCTAGTAACTAACAAGGTGACTTCGTAGTTGCATTGGTGGTTCAGTGGTAGAATTCTCGCCTGCCACGCGGGAGGCCCGGGTTCGATTCCCGGCCAATGCATAGTTGACTATTTTTTGGGAGTTCAGAAAGAGAGTTTGCAGCCAGGCAAACTATAGACAGCCGTTATGGGGGATTTGTTCACTCACCGGATGATGAATTTTAGAGAAATCTCCACTCCACAGAACTGTGCAGGCTCAATTTTTGAGTAGTTTCAAGACAGAATAGATTGGTTTCTGGAAACTAATGACATTAAGTAAAATAGAGATAGTGTTGGAAAATGGCCTTGTGCTGGTCGGCTGTGATCCAGAATGATGGGGCAGACTCGATGCGCTGAATGGCCTGTTCGTATCTGAGCCTGTCACCGTCACTGAGAGGCGATCTTTTCGAGTGGAAAGGCTGTTGCGGTCCCAGTGCCTGTCACAAACATCAGCTTTTCAATTTAATACCTCAACAAGACAATTGGAAAAATATCTGGCTTCTGTCTGCTTTTGACAGAACAAAGTGGTGTATGCAGGTACATTTACAACGTTTAAAAGACATTTGAATTACTTCATGAATAGGAAATGTTTGGAGGGATATGGGCCAAGCGCAGGCAGGTGGGATAAGATTAGTTCCGGAACATGACCGAAGTGAACTGGTTGGACCCAGGGGTCTGTTTCCATGCTGTATGATGCTGTGACTCTAATCCCACTCTTGTTCCAGATTCAAACATGTATCTAAATCCTTTACGAAAATTACTATTGAAAATACTACTCCCTTGTCAGTTAGAATGTTCTAAATCATAAAATAATCAGAGTTTAAGGATGGTTCTTCGATCAATTATTTTGTAGTTTTTGGTGCGTGACCCAGCGGGTCCCTCAGTCTCTGCTTCTTTTATTCAATTGAATTCAAAAGTCCCCTTCTAACATGCACTACTTTGTGCTTCCCTCAAATCCCAATTATCGATTTCAACAGCATTTTTGTAGCGCCTTTAAATCTGTTACTATTCTGCTGACTTGTTTTCTTTGTTCATTCCAGGACAGCCTTTGTTGGAACAGAAGGTAAGACATTCTCTTGACTGAAATTGCACATTTCTTGGGCAAATAAATTAGAAAGTGTTTTTTTAAACAGATTCTTACCTGTTTATCATGACACATTCATGTTTGAGCCCAATTTTAAGTCATACGAACCTAGTTACCTCCACAAAGTTAAAATCAGGCCCAAAGAGATGTTAGTCATGCAACTATAACTCTATGTGTGCATGTTTTTTATTACAGTAATTAATTGTTGTTATATTTTATCTAAACATACATATTTCTTATTTCACAATATTTAATATAAATAATACAACCTGGATTCTAGACCTGAAATTATTACTTGCAAATTATATTTTCCTAGATGGCTCCTAACCAACTGGAGAAGGCCATTTTTAAAATGGAATTGTAGTATAAACATGTTATTTGTACACAATCAACACAACAGGAATTGTATAAACACAAGCATATAAGAGATGCGGGTAGGAATACGCCACACATCAAGCCTGCTCCATGATTATTCATGATCATGGCTGATCTTGGGAATCAATTTCATTTTCCTGCCCATTCTCCCACCCATTGGTTTTGACAGCATACCAACCATTTCTTCCCCCCAGCCTAAAATGTATACAATGCTCAAACATCAATGACCCACTGTTGCGAAGAACCCCATAGGTTCACAGTCCTTTGTTTATCCACTGGTTGAAGTCATATCTAGAACAACAGAAGGCGGTTGTGTTTGTTGGATCTTATGATGGAAGGAATGTCACTGGTCAAGGTGCAGAAGATGGTTGGGCCCAGGACAATATTCTGGACAATGAAGTGGTGGTGACTCTTATTTCTGAGCCAGGACTCCTGTGTTCAAGTCACACCTGAGATGTATAAAAACATCTTTGAAAAGGTTGCTTACAAAATATCTAACCTAGATAACATCCAGGCTGGGGCTAATAAGTGGCAAGACAATCGTACAATACGAATGCCAGGCAATAACCCACGTCTAACCACTTTCTCAAGGGCAATTTGGGAAGGGCAATAAACACTGGCCTGGCCAGCAATTATATGCTCATCCCATTAACATATTAAAAAACTTCTTCCCTTTTCATCGCAGTCCTAAATGATCAGCCCATGATCCTAGCTGTACCCTATCTATTAAATTTTGCTATAAGTAGAAACAATCTCTCAGCATCTACCCTATCATGTTTCAATGAAGTCTTGTATGCATCAACAAGGTTGCCTCTCATTCTCTAAACTCCAGAGAGCGTAGACCTAAATCACTCAGACTCTTATCATAGAACAATCTTGTCATCCCAGGGACCAATTTACTGAACCTCTGTTGCACTACCTCCATTGTAAGCATGTAGAGACAAAAAATCCACATAGTAGTCCAGATGTGAACTTAAAAAAGGAACATATACAATTTTGGCAAGACTTCTCTATTCTTGAACACAAATCCTCTTGTAATAAAAATGCATTGATGTAATGGAATATTACTTGGGGTGGCATGGTGGCTCAGTGGTTAGAACTGCTGCCTCACAGTGCCAGGAACTTGGGTTTGATTCCCCCCTCTGGTGACTGTCTGTGTGGAGTTTGCACATTCTCCCTTTGTCTGTGTGGGTTTCCGCTGGGTGCTCTGGTTTCCTCCCACAGTCCAAAGATGTGCAGGCTATGTGGATTGGCCATGCTAAATTGCCCATGTGGGCAGGGATGTGTAGATTAGATGGTTTATAGGGGGATGGGTCTGGGTGGGATGCTCTGAGGGTCAGTGTGGATTTGTTGGGCCAAAAGGCCTGTTTCCACACTGTAGGGATTCTATGAATATCTGAAGGCACTTTGCAGAAACTAACATCAAGCCACGCAAGTAGATATTAACACAAATGATTGAGGAAGGCGTTAGAGAATAGTTTCTTGGAGAAAATAGATGTGGTGAGTTTGCATTTTTGCATCTGGTTGCATCCAATGGGGGCCTCTAATGGGGGACTGACTGAAATTAGGAATGTTCAAGATGTCATAAGTACAGGAGTGCAGGGAATGTGGTGGGAGTGAGGTTAAAGTGTATGCATTAAAGTAAGATATCAAGTTGCAAATTAGATGTTTAAACAGCATCTAATATTTTCAGAATTTGTCTTTGTTTGCAAGCGCACAGGCTTAATGGTATGTTGTGTCTTGGCAACTAATGTTATCACATCATGAGCTTTTTCCTTAACATGAGCATTTTGATTCCTTGTCCTTGAATTTTTAAGTTGTCTTTTGCTCAGTTATAGAAACAAGATTAACAATTCAATTCTCTCCTATTTACTTTAAAAGGAAAGTGCTGAAAGAAAGTAACATTGGGATGGCTTCACCATTTGCATTATTTCTGAAATATTCTAATTAACACAAATTTGCAACATCATCTGTTTATAATTCACAGGAATAGTATGGACTCTCATGGATTCTCAGTAACAGATGTCGCCCTCTCTATTGGAAAGTTTAATGGCCCTTTACAGTACACAGCCTGGAAAGAAATGATAGACTCCATTAACCCTGGTAAAAATTGTATATTCATTTTACATTCATTTGCCAGACCATAAATATAGTTGGGAAGTGACTAAGGGACTCTGGGGCCTCAGGTTAAACACTGGGTGTCAAAACAGTTATGCTATCTGTATAACCACTTGCAATATTCCACATGAGGATTCAAGCAGTCACTTCAAGATTAGTGGTTAAATAAGACATTCTACAGATATTGAACACAATATAGATTTTTAGTGAAATTAATGGAAACAAACTTTGCAGAGCTTGTTATAAATTTCACTTTCCGCAGTGCACAACAATGGCATAGTTGCTCTGCTTTCTTTCATTGTTAAAAACACTTTTTTTTAAAAACTCTACTCTCTTGCTGTTTCTCCTGCACCCATCCCCAACCATCCCTTTCAATTATCTGTCTTGTTTCCTAGTTCCATTATCTTTCTAGCTGTCACTATATCTCTTACATTCAGCTCTCTCATCTCTCCCTATCTTTCTCCTCTTCACTTAACTCCTACTTTTTCAATTTTCCTCTCTCCCTCATCTTGAACTCCAACTTCCTATTTTCTCTCTCTCAACACTCTATTTTCTTCTTCCTTTCACTTTCGTTCTTCACCTTGCACCCATCTCTCAATCCTATTTCTCCCAAACTCTCTTTCCTCTCTTTTCAATTCTACTCTCCTGTCCCAAAATGTTGCTCACCTCTTTCATTTGTTGTTGTATTTTTCCTGCTCTGATTTTCACTCTTTCTTCCCAATTTTGTTCTGTCTTCTCCCTCAAGCTATCCCTTTCTCTCTCCCAATTTATCTTCTCTCCCACATGCACTTTAGCTCCATTCCACGTTCCATGCTGACTTCAACCCTCTTGCCCTCTCCCACTCCCTCCCGCTGACTGCATCTTTCCCTGTGCTCTTTCCATATCTCATTCCCTCCTGGGCTATTGGTCCCCCTTCTCCCTCTTCCCAAAATCCACTTCCTGTCCACACAAACCCGTTCTCCTCCCTCCTCACTATGATCTGTGTCCACTTGCTCTCCTATTGCTTGTACTGTCTGATCTGGCACCTTCCTCTGTTCCTCTCTATCTCTCTTCCCTCCTCTTCCTGTTCATTCTGCTTCCACTCCCACTCTTTCCATTCATACACACTACTACTCCATTCCCCATCTCTAATCATAGTCATTTATAACTTCCCACAGTTCCAGCCTCTCTGACTCTGGATCTGAACACAACAAATCCCCGGCTTATTTTGTCTGAGGACCGGACCAGTGTGCGACTCGGAAACAAACCGCAACGACTCCCTGATCATTCAGGGAAGTTTGATATCTGGCCTTGTGTCCTGGGATCAGAAGGATTCACATCAGGACGACATTACTGGGAGGTGGAGGTGGGGAACAAGACTCAGTGGATTGTGGGAGCAGCCCAAAAGTCTGTTAAGAGGAAAGGGCATATTGACCTGAGCCCAGAATCTGGTTACTGGACTCTCTGGTTGGACTTTGGAGGTCACTATTTTGCAGTCACCTCTCCCTCACCTACCCCCCTCACTCCAGTGGTGAATCCCCAGAAAATTGGGGTTTACCTGAACTATGAGGATGGTCAGGTGTCATTTTACAATGCAGACAACATGTCCCATCTCCACACTTTCACCCATACCTTCACTGAGAGAATTTTTCCCTTTTTCCATCCAGGATGGAATATAGATGGAAAAAACTCTGGAGCTCTAACAATCTGCAGCATTAAAGGGCACTGACAGATCCATCCCATAATTTCACCCAGTCCCTCTGCCTCCTGCAAACTGTAAACTGATGGGGGTCAGTCTCAGTCACAGGTGGACAGCTAAACCAGGTTAATATTCTGGGAATAAACCCTGTATCAGAAATGGAAACTGAAGTATCAGCAAGGAGCTCTGTAGGGCTGGGGGGAGAAAGCAGGGGAAGAGAAGAATCAAATAGCGGCTCAAATGTAGAGATGGATTTACTGGATAGAATGAGCTGTTAATGGCAGGAATTAAGGGAAATGTTGATGTGACGGTTAATAATCCAACAACCAGCTCTTGGTACAGGGCTCATTCCATCACTAGAGCTAATGGTATTATTGCTATGCTATTAATCCAGACATCCAAGTAATGTTCTGGGGGCCTGTGTTCAAATTCTGCCATAGCAGATACTGGAATTTGAGTTCAATATATTTTTTAAAAATTGAATTAAATCTCTAATAATGATCATGACACCTGACCGTCAGAGAAAAAAAAAAATCTGGTTCACTAATGTCCTTGAGGGAAGGAAACTGCCATCCTTACCTTGTTATCCCTTCATGTAACTACAATCCCACAACAATGTGGTAGACTCTGGACTGCCCTCTGGGCAATTAGGGATGGCCCATAAATGCTGGCCTAGTGGAAAAGTGGAATTTGAGCTGATTTAATAAAGTTTGGAATATTAAGCTTGTCTCAGTAAAGACAGTTATCACTGACTTTTTTTTTAAAACACATCTGATTCAATGATGTCCTTTCAGGGAGAAAATAAGCCATCCTTACTGGTATGGCTGACCTATATCGCCAGTCCTGTAGCAATAACTCTTAACTGCACTTTGAAATAGGCTTGCAAGCCATTCAGTTCAAGGGTAACAATGGTAACAAAGAACCTGTCCATTCTAGCCAACAATATGGAGCATCAACAATGCTCTGGAGGAGAGAATTCCAAATATTCACAACCTTTTGAATGAAGAGATTCCTTATCTCCGTCCTAAATAGTTGGTCCCTTATGCCGAGACTGTGCCCCCACATTCTCTCCACTGTGCGCCCAGATGGCCCAGCCTATTTGGAAGCAGCCTTTCAATGTTGGCACTGTCAAGGCCCCATCAGAATCCATAGCAACTATAGATTGCTTTCAAAACATTTTTTGCTTCCTTTTCTAAAGTAGTTTTCATCATTATTTCCATTCTAAACCATGATTCTTAAATATTTCATAGTAACATTTGATTTACTTCAAGTTACTATGAATACCATAAAAGGTGGTCACACAGCTTGAAAATGTTAAGGTATAGATGACAGAAGATGTATGACCTGGGGTGAGGATGTCCATTTCATGCCTCCACTCTCCATATCCAATGCATCTTTGAAACTTTCCAGAGTAGGACTGTCTTTGAAGTGTTTGGCTTCTTGGGCCTTCTTCACTAACAATATTTAACAAAAGAAAATAAAACATGCAAAATGCTACTTTGTGAAGTCGCTTGGTTATTTTTATCCTATTTGTCTTTTCTGTTTCTCAAACATGCTTTCCTGGAACATAAACGTTGAACACAACACATTTATTGACTCATGGATGTTGCTGGCTGATCAGCATTTATTGCACGTCCCTACCAGCGGGTGGTAGCGAGCTGCTTTCTTGAAACGCTGGAGTCCACATGATGTATAGATTCATAATGGTCAACAGATTGGAAACAGACCTTTTGGTCCAACCAGTCAACGCCGACCACGTTACCAAACTAAACTAGTCTCACCTGCCTGCTTCTGGCTCATACCGCTCCAAACCTTTCCTATTCATGAACTTATCCAAATGTCTTTTAAACGTTGCAACTCCATCTGAATCCACCACTTTCCCTGGCAAAGTAAACTTATTTCAATAGCAGGCAGAAATAACTTTTTTCCCAACTGTTTTATTATGAGGGTTCATTGAATATCTTTGCGTCTGGGACCGCAACAGCCTTTCCGCTCGAAAAGATTGCCTGTCTCGGTGACAGTGACCCGCTCACATACGAACAGGCCATTCACGCTCGAGCCTGCCCTATTATTCCGGATCACGTTCGATCATTTCAAGGCCACTTTCCGACACTGTCTCCATTTTACTTAACGTCATTAGTCTCCTGAAACCTGTCTTGAAACTGCTCAAAAATTAAGCCAGCATCGCCTTCTCTCATAATCGCCCACGCTGTGAGTGAAGAAATCCCTCACAACGACTATCCACAATTCCTTGTTATTTATCGTGGCAGAAGGTTGGAGAGTTTGCAGACAGGCGAAATCTTTCTGTACTCCGCTAGACCCTGTAGAAAAGATTATGCATTGGCCGGGAATCGAACCCGGGCCTCCCGCGTGGCAGGCGAGAATTCTACCACTGAACCACCAATGCATTTGCTGTTGAAAAATTTGCTGCAACTCCAGTACAATTTGATTTCCAGCAGAAAGTTTAAATTGGTATTACTGAAATAGTGACAAACCAATTAGGAAGGTCGCAATGAAGGGCCGTTTGTTTGTTTGATCAGTTTGGTAAACACAGCAGAACCGCCCCGAATAGACAGAAGCAAAACAGGGTTTCTCTAATCAGCTCTGTTATTTTAACTAGTTTAACTAAACTAAGCTGCGATAGTTATGTTGACCGACAATGCGCTAAGGAATGGACTTCCAGGATTTTGACCCAGTGACAATGAAGGAATAGCGATACATTTCCAATACGGTCTAGAGTGGCTTGGAGCGGAACTTGCAAGTGGTGGTGTTCCCATGTGTTTGCTGCTCTTGCCCTTCTAGATGGAAGTGGTTGTGGACTTAGAAGCAGCTGCCTCAGGATTTTAGGTGAATTGCTGTGATGCAGCTTGTGGGTAGTACACACTGCTATTGCTGAGTGTCCATGATGCAGAGAGTGAACGCTTGTGGATGTGAAGCCAAGCAAACAGGTTGCTTTGTCCAGGCTGGTGTCAAGTAATGTTGGTGCTGCATCCATCCTAGCAAATGCAGAATATTCTATCACACTCCTGACTTCTGCCTTGTAGATGGGGGACAGGCTTTGGGGAGCTAGGAGGTGAATTACTCAATGCAGTATTCCTGGCCTCTGAAGTGGACTTGTAGCTACTGTATTTATATGTTGAGTCCAGTTGAGTTTCTGGTCAATGGTAACCCCCAGGATGTTGTTAGTGGGGCATTCAGTGATGGTAACACCATTGTTTCTCAAGGGTCAGTGTTAGATAATCTCTTATTAGAATAGCCTTTATTGTCACGTGCACTCAAATGAGTGCAGTGAAAAGTTTGAGATAACAAGGTGTAGAGCTGGATGAACACAGCAGG